GGTCCAAGTTGCCTTATTCGAGATCTGATTATATGTGGAGACATGAAAGGAATTGGAATAAATCTTCCTTGTGATATGTTTCAAGAGTTAAATTAGAGCAGACTCTACTCTCTTAATTAATCCCCGTTGAGTCAGACATATCTACATCTACACTCTTCAAAAATGATAAATTCTCTTTTCAAAGATGATGGATTCTCTTTTTAAAGATGATATATTCTCTTTTCAAAGATGAAAGCTTTATTGGAATTTTACACAAGTCCAGACAAAGAAAGCCGGTGTTACCAAAGACAAAATGGGGGATCAGGGTCATAATTTTGACTACGATAAGAGTTCCATAAATGAAACATTTTTTATAAGACTTAAATGAAGCAAAGAAGGCACCAAGATACAAGTTGATCAGATGAATCTTCAGAAATGCAAGCTTGATAGCATAAGTTTCTACACTGATATCCAGAGGTAACCCTGGCAATAAATGATGAAGTGAAGGAAGACCTAGTTCACCACTTTGAAGTCAAATGAAGATTGCATCAACATTCATGCATTCATAAGAATATCATTTACATAATAGACAATGCATTACATTGATACATATGATTGCATTCAAACATAAGGTTTTGCAGATCTTCATATAAAAAAGAAGATTCACGATGAACAATACCTTACAAGAAGAAGGTAGAATTCAAAACCTCGAATACAGGAATCACGCCAACATCTGAAGAATAGATGGACACAATCCACAAGAATGAGCATTATTTTGATATTGGGGCATGTTACCCAATCAACATGTTATTTCAAAAAAATAATGAGAAAACGATTTCCTAGTTTCTCATTTTATATTTTCTAAAATAAAATTGTTGAAAAGTAAGAAATCAATTTCCTTAGTTTTTTTTACTTAGTAAACTATTTCCCGCATCTGTAAGTCCTTCAGTGCATGATTTTCAAAAAGCCTTTGGGAGCTTTTTGATGTAGTTATTTTGAAAAAGAATGAGAAAACGATTTTCCATAGTTTCTCATTCAATCTTTTCTGAAAATGAAATTGTTGAAAAGTAAGAAAACGATTTTCATTGTTTTTTTTACTTAGTAAATTATTTCCCACATCTGTAAGTCCTTCATACCATGACGTTTTCAAAAACCTTCGGGTCATCTGTAAGTCCTTCAGTGCATGATGTTTTCAAAAAAAAAAACCTTCGGGTCATCTGTAAGTCCTTTAGTGTATGATGTTTTCAAAAACCTTCGGGTCATCTGTAAGTCCTTCAGTGCATGATGTTTTCAAAAAACCTTCGGGTCATCTGTAAGTCCTTCAGTGCATGATGTTTTCAAAAACCTTTGGGTCATCTGTAAGTCCTTCAGTGCATGAGGTTTTCAAAAAACCTTCGGGTCATCTGTAAGTCCTTCAGTGCATGATGTTTTCAAAAAACCTTCGGGTCATCTGTAAGTCCTTTAGTGCATGATGTTTTCAAAAACCTTCAGGTCATCTGTAATTCCTTCAGTGCATGATGTTTTCAAAAAACCTTCGGGTCATCTGTAAGTCCTTCAGTGCATGATGTTTTCAAAAAACCTTCGGGTAATCTGTAAGTCCTTCAGTGCATGATGTTTTCAAAAAACCTTCGGGTCATCTGTAAGTCCTTCAGTGCATGATGTTTTCAAAAACCGTCGGGTCATCTGTAAGTCCTTCAGTGCATGATGTTTTGCAAAAACCTTCGGGTCATCTGTAAGTCCTTCAGTGCATGATGTTTTCAAAAACCTTCGGGTCATCTGTAAGTCCTTCAGCGCATGATGTTTTCAAAAACCTTCGGGTCATCTGTAAGTCCTTCAGCGCATGATGTTTTCAAAAACCTTCGAGTCATCTGTAAGTCCTTCAGCGCATGATGTTTTCAAAAGCCTTCGGGTCATCTGTAAGTCCTTCAGTGCATGATGTTTTCAAAAACCTTCGGGTCATCTGTAAGTCCTTCAGTGCATGATGTTTTCAAAGCCTTAGGGTCATCTGTAAGTCCTACAGTGCATGATGTTTCCAAAAAGCCTTCGGGAGCTTTTTGATGTTTTCAAAGCCTTAGGGTAATCTGTAAGCCCTTCAGTGCATGATGTTTTTAAGACCTCTGGAATGATGTTTTCAACATTTCAGTCTTACTCAAAATAAGAAAAATGAAAAAAATTATTGTTTTTCCGTCTTTGCTCTATTCTTATTAACAAAAGAATAAGTAAAGAGGGGCAGCTGTAAACACTAATTTTTTTTCCATTTTTGTTATTATTATTAAAATTATTATTATTATTATAAATATTACTATTATTATTAAATATATTATTACAAGCCCAAGACCCGCATGCCCAATTTACAAACCCAAACAAAGAGGCCTGATCAGCCAACTGGCCCAGCTAAACCCTAAACCTAATTTAGGGTTTATATCATCTCTAGCCGCCTCATCATCACAGCCGTTGGATGTCTACAGGATGTCCAACTTGATGCAGCTAGGGTTTCTAAACCCTAGTTTTTACGTGGCCACGTCCCAGCCGCCGCTCCAAAGTTCCAGTGAATTCCAGCCGCCTCACGTCTGCTGCCAGATGCTCGAACCCTCTACAGCCACGAAGCCGCCGCCTCACCAGAAGCTTCCAGAAGGCCAGTTGTCCCCCCACATGTCGCGGCTATGGGGTGAGTCACCACATAGCTCGGTGACTCACCGAACTTCCCCCTCTAGACCGGTCCGAGCATGGCTCGGTGGTGGCTATAAAAGCCACCGGATCCTACAAAACAAAGAGGAGAGACAGAAACGAAGAAAGGGCAAGCAAACCAGTAACCACACACAGCCATAAAGAGCAAGAAAATAGAGAGAGATACGAACATCAACCAAGAAGTCAGAGGAAAATAACACAATAACTATCAAAATCCATAAAACAGAAGGAAAGAAAAAGGAGAGAAGCTTACCAATAGAGACACGCGATCATCAGAGCCTTCTCATCTTGCCGGAGAACCGAAAATACCGAAGGTATTTTCTTAGATTTAAGAAAATCTAAGGGTTTTTAGGATAAAATGAGGCTAGATTCAGGTTCGTGGCAAGTAGATCTTTAAGATTAGGGTGTTTTTTTTGCATATTCTGGCCACAGTGGGTGGTGGCCGGTAGTGGTGTCGGTGCCGGAGTATAGCTATCAGCCGGTGGTCGGCCAACCTCCGTTTGGAGGATTGAAAAGAGAGGCGAGAGAGTTTTTCTTCTCTCTCAGATAGAGAGAGAGGAAGAAAGATGAAAATGAGAAGCTGACCCTTAAGGGCCGGCCTTTTGGGATTTTTAAGCCCTTCCCCAAACGACGCCGTTTTGGGGGAGGGGTATATCTGTAATTTCTCGCAGGGGTAAACTATACCCGCTGCCACCACAGTTTTGTAACTTTTCATTTTGGTCACTGATATCAAATCTTGAACCTTTTAATTCGGTCTTTCTATTTTATTTAGTTTATAATTTAGTCCTAGCCTGTATACTTATATATATTTAAGGTAAATACCGTATTTAGTCCTTATAACTTTAATAACTTTTTTTTGACCTCTAATTAATTAATTAAGGATTAATTATATTAGTAACACCTAGTTTTCATAATATTTCAAACTAGAGCTTTTAATCTTAATTGTCATAATTTAGTCACTAATTTTAATTATAAGTTTTATTACTTTTTATATTTAATTTTAATTTTATTTATTTTACTCATTGTTATTTATATTTTTTTTATATGTTTAAATTATTATTTCATAATTATTTATTATTATCTTATTCATATAAATATATACCTATATTCTTTTAAATAATAATGTTTATTTCTTTTCAATATCAAAGAAAAGGACAGTCTTAAAACAACTGGATGTCCTATTCTGGTATTTTAAAAAATTAAACATTATAAAAATTATAATTTAGTTTTATTTAAATTATTAAAATTTTAATATTTATTTTTAATTTTTAATATCGAAGAAAAGAGCTGTCTTAAGGTACCTAGAAGTCATTTTCTGATATTTCTAAATAAATAAATATTTTTATAAATATATTTAAATTAATATATTTTATTAAAAATTATAGTAATAAAATTTGAAATAACATAATTATAAATTAAATATATTTAAATTTTTAAATTTCTAATATTAGAGACAATTTATAATTAATAAAGTGTCAATTTTGGGCGTTGTAAGGGTGCTAATCCTTCCCTAAACGTAACCGACCACGAATCCCTTTTATTATTAAAAAGAATGAATTTTTAGTTAAAACGCAGATTAGTTTATCTTTTAATCGATGTTTTCTTAAAAACTCTTTTAAAAGATGATTTTTAGGTATTCGACCTACCTGACCCAAAAGGCCGATGGCGACTCCCAAATTATTTAAAAAAACCATTTATTCACATCATTTTTCCCGCTAAGTATAAAAGAATTCGTGCCCGGACGAAAACCGGTTACGACACCTCCCTCTTCAGTTCTATCCATGAGGAGCCCGATGATGAAGAAATCGCACCGCCCTCTACTGTTACTACTCAAGAGCCGCAACCTTCCATAAGGTCTATTAACTCGAGACCCAAAGTGCCTGCCAAGAACAAAAACCCATCCCACGCTCATTCGAAGACTTCCGCCGCTAAGGGGCCTATCTCTCACCGTAAACGCGTTGCCACCTCAAATATTCACAACTCGACTAGCCGAGCGACCCCATCATCATCGTCCAAAACTGCCTATCCCAAAGTTGGCTCTCACGTTCCCCTCACCCTTCGACCACCAACTACCCTTGATCCAGCCAGCACTCTTCTATCACCATTTCTAAAAACTCAGACTCGAACATCTACCTCCCCCAAGCAAGCGTCCTCATGGATGATCCTCCCGACTCCTCTCGATGTGCAGTTCCTTAGCCGAATGCTTTGAAGGCTCATGTTTCTTTGACAACAGACCCGAAACACCTCAAGCTGAAAGTTGTATTGATAGTGAACTGGAACATCCCGATGTTATGCTTGAATAGCGCCGGTATGGCATTCTTATATTTCTTACCATGAGTTTGAAATTTTTTGCTTGGAATGTGCAAGGTTGTGGCAATCCCAGATTTCTCCTTGCAGCTAGACATTTCTTACGTGAGAACAAACCTGATCATGTTGGTATTCTAGAGCAACGCGTTAGTGGTTTGAGAGCAGACTCCATTATCGCAGCCCTTGGTTTTCACCGTTCTCATCGGGTTAAAGCTATTGGCAATTCAGGGGGCATTTGGTTGTGTTGGAATTCTTCTGTTGAGATCACCATTCTATATAGCCATTTCCAATTCATACATTGCCAAGTCTCCTTCCCGAACAGCTCCTTCTTTCTTGCCTCTATTGTTTATGGAACCCCGAAGGCAGCCAAACGGCGATCTCTATGGTCTGGCCTTCGCTACATTACTCGTAATATTACCTCCTCCTGGATAATCTTGGGAGATTTTAACGCCACTTTATCCTCCTCTGATCGCATGGGTTGCGCCTCTTTGAAGCATAACAAAGATTTCCAAGATTTCTTATGGGATTTGTCTCTTCGTGATAAGGGGTTTCATGGCCCCAATTACACCTGGTCTCGAAGTACTGCTCAAGTTCGGCTTGACTGTTGTCTTTGTAACAGCTATTGGGACGAATGTTTCCCTAAATCTTCCATCTTGCACCTCCTCCGTATGCGCTCTGACCACCGGCCTATTTTCTTACAAGTTGAAGGTACTGAGAAAAATCTTTCAAAAGCTCATTTACGGAATTTCTCAGGCTGGCTTAGTCACGATGATTTTACCCGTATGGTGTGTGACAACTGGACTCCAGGACCTTCTCTTTCTGAGATCATCCGTTCCTTCACCATGGCTGCTGATGTTTGGAACACTACTTTGGTTACATCGGAACTAAGAAACATATCGTGATGGCTCGTCTCCGGGTATCCAAATATCGCTCTCTAGGTGAAATTCTGCTTTTCTTAATTCTCTTGAGTCCGAACTTCTCCTTGAGCTCGAAAATCTTCTTGATGAAGAAGAGAATCTTTGGAAGTAGAAATCGTGCTCAGAATGGATTATTTTTGGTGACCGAAATACCAAATACTTTCACCGAAAGGCAAAAATTTGAAAACAGCGAAATAAAATCAGCTTTCTCAAACTTGGCGAAGATTGGTGTAATGATGATACTGTCCTCCGCGAGGAAGCGGTGCGATTCTATGGTAATATTTTCTCAGCTGATGAGGCCCCTATTGGCTCTTTCCTATTAGCTCTTTCCCTTTTCCTATCAACAAGTGAATTTGGATTCACTTAACACCATTCCTACGGACTCTGAAATCCAAGAAGCACTTCTTGAGATGGCTCATCTTAAAGCTTCCCGGCATGCTGGCCTCCATACGGAGTTTTTCCAAAAGCAATGGCACCATGTTGGTCCTTCCACTTGCACTACTCTTAAGAGGTTTTTAAGGGCGGTAATCTTGATCCGGAGCTTAATAGAATCGTCCTTGTTCTCATTCCGAAAATTCATGCACTTGAAACTTTCTCGGATTTTCGACCCATTAGTTTCTGCACAGTTGTGTATAAACTCTTGACGAAGATCATTGTTCGAAGACTTAAAAGGATCATGCCGCTCCTTGTTCGGCCAACCCAAACAAGCTTCGTCTCTGGCAGGTCAATAACGGAAAATATCATCATCAATAAGGAGATAATTCACTCCATGAGTGCCTCCAAAAGCAAACTTGGATGGATGGCTATTAAAGTTGATATGGAAAAAGCCTTCGATCGTCTGCACTGGGATTTCATCCATGAGACTCTTACTTATGTCGGTCTTCCCCTGGGATTTATTTCGTTTAATCATGCATTGTCTCACTTCCTCCTCTATGGCGATCCAATGGAACGGTGTCCTCTCTTCCACCTTTAAGCGTGAACGTGGTGTCAGGCAAGGTGACCCTTTATCTCCCTATATTTTCGTTCTTGCTGTGGAATGTCTTGGTCACTCTATTGATATTGAGGTAAAATCTAGAGATTGGGCGCCTTTTCGGCTTTCTTGCACCAGCACACCAATTTCTCATCTCTTCTTTGCCGATAACTTGATCTTATATGCAAAAGCCACTACTTCTCAAGCAAAACTCATTAAGCACCTCCTTTAGATCTTTGGGAAGTTCTCGGGTCACAAGGTTAGCAAGCAGAAATCTCAAATATTCTTCTCGCTGATCGCCTCACCTACAGTTAGTTCCTCTATCGGTAATTCTCTTGGTTTCCAAATTGTGACTAATCTAGGAACTTATCTTGATGTTCCTGTAATACACCAAAGATCTCGTTGCAATGACTATGAATTCATCTTGGAAAAAATGCAGAAAAAACTCAACGGTTGGGCCGTCTGCTCCCTCTCTATGGCCAGCCGTATCACGCTTGCTAAGCCTGTCCTTGCAGCTATCCCTATTTATTTTATGCAGACTTGTCCTCTCCCGAAGCATATTTGCCATAAAACTGAGGCCATTGTTCGTCATTTTATTTGGGGTAATACCCCTACTAATCTAAAAGTCCCCCTTATCAATCGGTTCTCAATATGCCAATCATTGGATCGTGGTGGCCTTGGATTTCATCTTGTTTATATTGAAAATTGGCACACCAAATTGCATCAATTGTCAACATTATGGGTGGCAATTTGGTGGCATTAATGGGGTGGCAAAATTGGTCAAATTTGGCCACCAAATTGTTGAAAATTTTTGGATGGTAAAACTATGCAATTAGTCATTGTAATTTAGGGTATTTACAAATTAGTCCTTAAAGCTTCAACTATAAATACCCTAGCTAATTTAGCTTCAAAACCATCCTAAAGCATTCTAGCTTTCTTCCAATACTAGAGAGAATTTAGAGAGTTTCTTGAGAGTTGTTTTCTCCTTTTTATCGAGAGAGAATTATCATTATTTTCTCGTTGGTAGATCGAGAGAGGTTGTAATTCCTATTTTCTCATAGTGAAATTCTTCTACCGTTGCCCGTGTTTTTTACCCTATTTTTTTTAGGGGTTTTCCACGTAAATTTTGTGTCTCTTTTATCTTCATTTTTATTTTCTCAAATTATCAGTTGCGATTTTGCTCTATCCGATAGCCGTCTTCCGCAACAATTGGTATCAGAGCTAGATTAGAGTGTGTAATATCTGCTTATTGTCTTTGTGGTTGCCACCAAAAGGTGGATCCTCCAACATAAGAAAGTAAGAAGTTATTACCCATTCTTTGAAGGTTCCAAAGAACTATTCACGATAGTGAAATAGTGGGAGCAATCCGTAAACGAAGCAATGGCAATAAAATTTGATATTGAAAAGTTCGATGGGAGAAATTTCTCATTGTGGAAATTGAAGATGAAGGCCATCCTGAGGAAAGACGGTTGTCTAACAGCTATCAGCGAAAGGCCAGTAGATTTCACAGACGACAACAAATGGATCGAAATGGACGGAAATGCTATGGCAAACTTTCATCTAGCATTAGCAGATGAAGTATTGTCAAGTATCGAGGAGAAGACAGCTAAGGAGATATGAGATCATCTCACCAAACTGTACGAGGCCACATCGTTGCACAATAAAATTTTCCTTAAGAGAAAATTGTACACTCTCCGTATGCCAAAATCTACTTTAGTGACGGAGCACTTAAATACACTGAACATTTTATTTTCTTAGCTTACATCCTTAAGCTGTAAAATAGGAGAACAAGAACGTACTGAACTTCTACTTCAAAGTCTACCGGATTCATATGATCAACTCATCATCAACTTAACAAACAGTAATGTCACCAGTCTAGTCTTCGATGACGTTGCAGCTGCTGTTCTACAAGAAGAAAATCGGCGCAAGAACAAGGAAGACAAACAAGTAAATATGCAACAAGCAGAAGCGTTGACAACGATGACAACGATGAGAGGGAGATCAACAGAACGTGGCCAAAGCAGCAGTCACAAACATGGTAGATCGAAGTCGATAAGCAAGAAGAATTTAAAGTGTTACAACTGTGGAAAGAAGGGTCACTTGAAGAAGGATTGTTGGAGTCTAAATAAAAACTCCAATCCACAAGGCAATACCGCAAACACTTCAGATGATGGAGATGCTCTATGCTGTGAAGCGTCAACCATCGTGGAAGGAAGAAAACGATTTGCAGATATATGGCTCTTTGATTCGGGAGCAACATATCACATGACCTCAAGAAGAGAATGGTTCCATCATTATGAACCTGTCTCAGGAGGATATGTGTATAGTTGCAATGATCATGCCTTAGAGATCGTTGGCGTGGGAACCATCAAATTGAAGATGTATGATGGAACAATTAAAGTTGTTCGAGATATGCGGCACGTGAAAGGTCTGAAGAAAAATTTATTATCCTACGGATTGTTGGATAATAATGCTAGCAAGATTGAAACACGGAAAGGAATCATGAAGGTGTTCCGTGGAGCGCTTGTGGTGCTAAAAGGCGAAAAGATAGAGCAAACTTGTACATGCTGAAGGGAGAGACTTTGCTAGAAGCAGAAGCCTCTGTTGCCTCATGTAGTTCAGATTCGGCAATGCTATGGCATCAGAAACTTGGACACATGTCAGAACAAGGAATGAAAGTCCTTGTGGAGCAAAAGCTACTTCCAGGCTCAACAAAGGTATCACTTTCTTTGTGTGAGCATTGCATAACAAGTAAGCAGCACCGGTTGAAATTCAACACATCAAATTCTAGAGCAAAAGTGTTCTAGAATTGGTTCACTCTGACGTATGGCAAGCCAGTAACATCCCTAGGTGGAGCAAAATACTTGTCCATTTATTGATGACTACTCCAGGAGATGTTGGGTGCACCCTATTAAGAAGAAGTCAGACGTGTTTTCAACTTTCAAAAACTTCAAAGCACGGGTGGAACTTGATTCTGGAAATAAGATCAAGTGTTTCAGAACAGATATTGGAGGAGAATACACAAGCGAAGAATTTGATGACTTTTGCAGGAAAGAATGCATCAAAAGACAGTTCACAGTGGCGAACACTCCTCAACAAAATGGAGTGGCAGCGGATGAACAGAACCTTGTAGAAAGAACAAGAGCAATGTTGAGGGATGCAGGCCTAGAAAAATCATTCTGGGCAAAAGCAGTCAATACCGCCTGTTATTTGGTGAATCGAGCTTCATCAACTGCAATAGAGCTGAAGACACCAATGGAGATGTGGACTGGAAAACCAGCTGATTATTCAAACCTCCATATATTTGGAAGTATAGTGTACGTGATGTACAACTCCCAAGAAATTTCAAAGTTGGATCCAAAATCCAAGAAATGCAAATTCTTGGGGTATGCTGATGGAGTAAAGGGGTATCGCTTGTGGGATCTCACTGCCCGCAAAGTGATCATTAGCATGGATGTTATCTTTGTAGAAGATAAACTAAAAAGAAAAGAAGACGATGATAGCGCTGAAAAGTCTGAGACTACTCAGATACATGTGTGGAAAAAGAGTTTGAAGAAGGAGATTCTTCTGAAGCAGAACCAGCACATGATGAACAAGAACCAGAGAGTTCTGAAGCTCCAACAACTCGTCAATCAGATCGTGTGAGAAGACGTCCCAATTGGCACTCAGATTATGTTATAGAAGGTAATATTGCATACTGCCTTTTAACAGAGGATGGTGAGCTATCAACATACCAGGAGGCAATAAACAGCTCAGATGCTTCACTGTGGATGATGACGATGCAAGAAGAAATCGAAGCCCTTCATAAAAATAATACATGAGACCTTGTGCCACTACCACAAGGAAGGAAGCCAAATGGTAACAAATGGTTTTTCAAAATCAAGCGAAATGGTAACGATCAAGTGGAGAGGTATCGTGCAAGACTGGTGGTCAAAGGATATGCTCAGAAAGAAGATATTGATTTCAATGAAATATTTTCTCCTGTGGTTCGACTAACAACAATTTAAGTAGTCTT